TCTACATAATAGCTTCTTTAATAAACTATTTCACTGACTTTAGAAACTATTGTGTGAAGATAATACGTCTGTTTGTATTGAATGTTTAATTATCTACATTGGAATTAACTGTGGTTTAGGTATATTGACGAATTTCAATGCTGAGCTATCTCCTACGATCATTGTGCAGTACGTAGGTATAATGCGGCTTAGCTACCCCATAGGACAAAGATGTAGCTATCAGTAAAGAGGATTTCCGGTTCTTATAACTCACTGTACGAAATATAGCTGAATAATGTTGAAATTTTACGATCTTATTTTGTGCAAAAAGTGTGATGATTCCCGTAGTCGAGCCGATCCATATTCGAGTTGCAGTCATAAGTAAACTGAATCACAAGCAATCACAGTTGTAGCATGACTTAACACGTACAAAGTTTTGCTTGCTTTTCTACCGACTTCAAAAAGGAGACGGTACTCAATTCGACTGTATGTTTTTTATGTGTGTTACCTCTTATAACTTTTTTTTAGTGAATCGATTTCGATGATTCTTTTTTTATTTGAAAGCTGGTGCTTCACATGTGGTCCCATATAAATTTGATTAAAGTCTCACCAATAGTTTTTGAGTTTTTCTTAATAATTTATATTGAAGTCTGTTGTAATTTTTTAAATTTTTTAATTATTTTATAGAATAAAGGTGACAAAATTTCACCCGAAAAGTCCATCTGATGGTAATTGGTTACTGTGGCCCATAGATATATACTACATCTATCCTCTTCTTCTTCTTTACTTTTTGGCTTCTCTATCTATCCTCGATTAAGAACTAAAATGTAGATGCGTTGTCACCCCTGAGGACTAAGACCAGGTTCCGTACAGTCACCATACGAAATAGCAGCATTAAGTATTTTGCACTGGTATTCTGTGAGAGCGTGGTCATTCCCGTATCGAGCCGACTCATTCTTGCTACAACCATAATATAACTGCAATTAATTCAAATTACAAACTTACTTATAATTTGTGAACAATAATCAATAAAATCCTCCATTCTAATTGCATGTGATGAACAACGCAAGAAACATTTATTTTTTAATAAAAATATCGTTACCCCTGCACTGAAGTTTTCTTCTACGTCGTTGACTTGTGAAGGCGTTTTACATACACAAACATCCATCCATTCAGATCCAGAACAATTATTTGTAGATCGTATAAACCACACATCGTATAAACCATACCACAGTAAAACGTGTGCTGTGCCACAGTCTGTTTCACACAGACAAAATATAAAAAAGACATGCAATATCCGTCATAGTGACCGTATGGTAGTGGCTTAGGAGAATCCATCACTCCATTTTGACTATAGGATATATGAGAAAGACCTTACGGCTTCAGATCGATGGCGATACAACCATTCCGCTCACTCCAGGCGTAAATACCCAGGGCAGAGATAAATAGCAGCGCCTAAGGTGCGAAACTAGGGCCCGTATTAATATACGTTACTGCGCTCAAGTGCACGCACTTGAGTACAATCTTGAGGTTATGATCTTATTAATAAACATATCTCAAGATGCGGTTTAGGTTTACAATATCAGCTGAGTTCCACACTGATTAATAAACGAAACTACTCTCAAATGTGTGTACTTGACTGCAAGTCACAGAACAGTATTCCTAAGTACCTACAGTGTTTTGAGATACTGTTTTTATGTTAATTAATTAGCAACGATCTTGAGATGCTGATATCGTAATGAGGGCGTATCAAATGATTATGCATATCAGTCCGTCGTCGTTGAGTAACGTTTATTAATACGGGCCTAGGACTGCGGCCGCCTGCCAAGCTAAATCCTCCAACGGGAGAGGCCCATGTCCAGCAGTGGACTTTCACGAGCTGGTGATGATGATATTTCGAGGACATATGTATGCTTTTGGTATAATTCGATAATTCATCGCACCATTGCTATCCATAATTGTAGTTGCGTGGTCTCCAATATATGGCGGTGTAATATTATCGTATACGTAAAAAAAAAAAACATCTTAACGGATGGTGAGAAACAGCAAGTAGTTAAGAACTAGCCAAACTGGGCAGAGAATTAGCGATATTTTTGTTATTGGGGGATAAAAATATTAATACACCAAACATTATTTGATATTAATACACCAAACATTATTTGAAATTAATCAAACTAAAGTCAATGAACCTAGTTTTTATATATTCAAATCTAGGCATACAGTAGTGTTTTTTTTTTTTATAGAATTATGTTGATAAACGAGCACAGTCCACGTGATGTTAAGTGGATACTGTGGACATCTTCGATTAAGAATCAAAATGCATAGATGCGTTGTCACCCCTGAGGACTACGATGGAATGCCTCTTTTCCAGTAAAAAGGGTCTCCGGTTCTCTACACTAACCATACGAAACACAGAAGTGTTAAGCTGCTATTTTACGCTGGTATTCTGTGAGGACGTGGTCCTTCCCCGGTCGAGCCGACCCATTCGTGTTACAACTATACTACTAATATAGCTGCAGCATAACTCTACCACGTATAAATTTTTCGATTAAGAATCAAAATACACAGATGCGTTGTCACCCCTGAGGACTACGATGTAATGCCTCTTGTCCAGTAAAAAGGGTCTCCGGTTCTCTACATTAAACAATCTAAACACAGAAGTTTTAAGCTGCTATTTTACGCTGGTATTCTGTGAGAGCGTGGTCCTTCCCGGTCGAGCCGACCCATTCGTACTACAAACATAATATAGTTGCAGCATGGCTTTACCACGTAAAATATTATTTCATTCATTTCCGCCGCCATATTGCAGTACACTCACTGCTTTGTTTGCACCACGTAAAAAAAGTGTCTGCTGAGTTAGAAAAATAAAAGGGCAGCAATATAGCAGTTTCAAGAATGTTGTAGATTTCTATATATCCTATGATATAGATGCTATGGAGCTTTGCGCACAGAACTCCACTCCGGCGTAGCCGACAGCCCCGAATGTCGATCGCACCGAACTTGGCCCCCTTTTCACATAATTGATTGTTTTGATGGGATGTAATGTATTTTACAAATTTTCGCTGACATACTAATTTGAATATATGACTAATATTAAGAAAACATTTATAATGGAGTGATGCGCGCATTCTACTAACGATAACCGTTACAGTTATAAATTGTGCATAAAACTTAAATGACAAGTTGTTTGTTGGGTGATTTTGTCGGAGTTCTAAACATACTTTAATATTTTGAGAAAATCCAGTCGAACTTCATCCAGCTGACAGTGTCAAATATTATACAAATGCAGCTTTCCATGAAGTGTGCATGAGCTTGTCTACGCAATTGGCTACTTCACCGAGCATCCTGGGCTCGATTCACAATCAACATTTGTGCCGAAAACACTAATAGCCGACTTCAATGAAAGGAATAAGTTCTCAATTCGAATGTTTTTATTATGCTACGCGATTTCTTCGTTAATTGTGAACCGATATTGATGATAGTTTTTTTTATTAAATAAGTTATACTTTAAATATTGTTCAATAATTAATTATTTAAATATTAACCCCATGAATCGTGTAGCCAGGTATAAGAATATCCACTACCTTATATTGTCCTTTGGGGTCATAAGAGGTGGCAGGGGGAAACTGAAACCAGATGGGCAGCAGTATCTTCTTGAGAACTCAAAATTATAAAAAAATGCAGTTGCCAACTCGCCTGCTGAGGGTAGCAACTATAAGAAAATACCCCCTGTGAGGCAATATATAGGCGAGGCCTATATGTAGCAGTGGACATTTACAGGTTATGCTTCTTAGGGGTAGTCCCATATAAATTTGGAAGAAATAATACCACTTCTAAGGGTGACCAAATAGGGGATGAAATTTTTAAATGTAACTATTTAAATAAAACTCAAAAGGGTAAAAATAAAATTAATAAAAAGTAAAAGGGCAGGGGACAAACACTGTCTAAGCACCGACTGCAGTGTGAAATTATTTTATTCTTTTTAGTACTTTTAAATCGGCTTTTTAACCCCCAACATAAAATAGGGGTGTTATAAGTTTGACCGCTATGTGTGTCTGTCTGTGACACCGTAGCTCTTAAACGGGTGAACCGATTTGGGTGCTTTTTTTATTTAAAAGGAAGTTTTCTGGCTGTGGGTTTTTCCTTTCTTTAAAAAACGTTACCTCCACACTAGGATTTTCTCTTGTATCGGTGGGGGCAGTTTATATAAATAAATTTACAAGGACAAACATCCAGACCCGGAACAATTATTTGTAGGCCATACAAATACTTGTTCCGTGCAGGATTCGAACCCGCGGCCCTTAGAGCAGCAACTCAATGCTAAACAACTGCGCCACGGAGCAGTCTCCGGTTCTTAGACATATTTTATCATAATTAATAATTAAAAATTTTGTACAACCGATTTCGATATAAATTATTAAGAATAACTCAAAAACTATAGGTCAGACCTTGATCAAATTTATATTGGACCACATGTGAAGCACCAACTTTCAAATAAAAAAAGAATCATCGAAATCGGTTCACCAACACAGTAAAAAGTTATGAGGTAACACACCTTTAAATAAATAAAACAGTCTAATTGAGTACCATCTCCTTTTTGAAGTCTGTAGAAAATCGATTCCGCCGTTTCAAGACCATCAGCTCCTTTTGTTTCGGGGGTTTTTAAAATTTTCAATTAAAGTTATACGTGTTTTTAATGGTCATATTTGTTATTTCGGGCACGGGTAGGTATGATTGACGAGTACGTGCTTTTGTTTGCACGTACACTTGCGGCACTTTAACGTCTTCTAGTCCGATCCTACACCATAGAAAGTTCAAGCGAAGGCTTTACGTGCTTTCTGAAGCACAGGGGGAAAAAACGCTAACTTTCCTGACTTCTGGCTGCTACTGAGTATTTCTTAACAGAAAACTCCAGTAACTGCTTTTGACTCGCTCAGCAGTCACGTTTTCGATTACTAGAGCAACAAGACAGTGGTTACATTAGTAATAACAGAACATATATAACCAACGTCTCTTTTCAGGTATGCGAAGTGTACAAACTGCACAGAGAGACGTTCCATTTAACCGTGGACTACGTGGACCGCTACTTGTCTAACACCACGGACGTGCAAAAAGGCCGGTTGCAGCTCATAGGTACGTTATTGAAATATTAATTGATTAATAAACTTCCTTTTCTGCTTACGAAACCATCTGGGTAGTTAATAAATTCTAACCTTTTATTACACTTTCGCTTAACAGTTAACAGTTTGGTTGTTGTATTCTGATTTAAGACTAGGAACATCCAAAACGATTAGGAGTTTGAATTTGCGAAAGCTGTTGTGTGTGTGTTACACACACAACATTCCTCTATATTTCTGAAAATTAAAAACATCATGTCAATTATGTTTTTGTAATTATAATTATTTTTGTAACTGTTTAACTACTGTCTCCATTAGCATTATTCTCATTTGTATAGTTCATAAAAAAAAAAAAACACTAAAGCCTAGACCAAAATATAAAAAAAAAAACATAATGAGGAAACTAATTTTGATACATTAAAATCAAAAACATTTCGGAGGATATGCCATCTTTTTTCTTTTCCAAAATCAGGTGAATCCACCGAAAAACCCAACCTAACTCCGCAAAAACCGGTAATGGGGTACACCATTAACACTTCGAGTGTCGGCTCTACACTGACTAATCCACTTAGTCGGTATGCTGTATGAGCTAACATCATTTGTCATCTAACGCATTTTATAATGTCTTATGTCTTATGACTAAAATAAACAATTTTATATAATTTTTTTTATAAATAAATAACATAACTATTAAGTTTCTTTGCAATGTTGCAGGTATAACTTGTTTGTTCATCGCTGCAAAAGTAGAAGAGGTATATCCACCGAAGATTGGTGAATTTGCATATGTGACAGACGGCGCGTGTACCACCGACGAGATCCTCCTAGAAGAACTGCTCATACTCAAAATACTATCGTGGAGTATCACACCGATCACGATCAACAGCTGGCTGAATATTTACATGCAATTAGCGAGCGAAGCGCGCAGTGCGAAGTGCAGGTTGCTCGGTGAAAGTGACGTGGGCGCTAACGCTCTGAGGGGCTACACGTTCGTGTTCCCACAGTACTCGTCGCTGGAGTTTGTGGTATGCGGCCAGCTGATAGACCTTGCAGTACTTCATGTGGACGTGAATCAATTCTCATATAGCACTGTCGCTGCGGCGGCGATGGCTCACGCTTTCAACAAGGAGCTCGCTTTGAGGGTATCGGGTACGTATATTTATTTTGTCTTAATTTTGTACTTATTGTTTTTTGTTACATAACATATTATACATTAGGAACAACTCAAAGAAAATCAGAAAGAAATAGTTTTCTAACAATGTTTCTTAACTAGTTGTGGCGTAAGTGAATCCACTAGCTTATATCATCCCTTGGGTGTCGTAAGAGGCGACTGTGGATAACTAAAACAGGAGAAAGTCAACAGAATCTTCCTCATAGTACTGGTAATAAAAATGCGGTTGCCAAAACGGTTGCCGAGCGTGTTAACTTTCGTAAATATGGCAATCTATGGGGAAGTCTTGTGTTCAGCAGTGGACTTTTGATAGGCTGTAATAATAATGAACCTGTGATGGCTGTTTAATGTAAAATTTGCGTCAAGCTCTTAGACTGGGCTATAATAACTAAAATATTCTAGACTAGCTGTTCCCCGCAACTTCGCCCGCGTAGATTTTATTACGATTGGATTTTATCGGTTTTAATTTTTTTTGCTGCTGATTTTGTATGGTGAGTGTAAAGAATTGGAGACACTTTTTAATGAAAATGAGGCATTCTATTTTAGAACTCTGGGGTGACAACGCATCTGCATTTTGATTCTTAACAAGGATGGATATAAATGTTTATGGGACACAGTATCCACTTACCATCAGATGGACTGTGTGCTCGTTTGTCAGTCTTATTCTATAAAAAAGCACCGCCTTATGCATTTGAGGCCGGAGTAATAAGTCGCGTAGTGACATTATTATTATGGTGATGTGTCAGGGTACAGCTGGGAGCAGCTGGCGGCGTGCCACGCGTGGCTGGGCGCGTGCGTGCGCGTGGTGCGCGCGGCGGGCGGCGTGCGCGTCGTGCGCGGCGGCGACGGCGAGCACGTGCAGCGCGCCGCCGGCCTGCGCCTCGTGTGCCCCGCGCTCAACCCCGACGAGAGCCACCGCATACAGTCGCACAACGTCACGCTCGACATGTTTGTGAGTACACGCATGCACACCTCTCCACTCGCATTACTCTACGGCGACGGCGAGCACGTGCAGCGCGCCGCCGGCCTGCGCCTCGTGTGCCCCGCGCTCAACCCCGACGAGAGCCACCGCATACAGTCGCACAACGTCACGCTCGACATGTTTGTGAGTACACGCATGCACACCTCTCCACTCGCATTACTCTACGGCGACGGCGAGCACGTGCAGCGCGCCGCCGGCCTGCGCCTCGTGTGCCCCGCGCTCAACCCCGACGAGAGCCACCGCATACAGTCGCACAACGTCACGCTCGACATGTTTGTGAGTACACGCATGCACACCTCTCCACTCGCATTACTCTACGGCGACGGCGAGCACGTGCAGCGCGCCGCCGGCCTGCGCCTCGTGTGCCCCGCGCTCAACCCCGACGAGAGCCACCGCATACAGTCGCACAACGTCACGCTCGACATGTTTGTGAGTACACGCATGCACACCTCTCCACTCGCATTACTCTACGGCGACGGCGAGCACGTGCAGCGCGCCGCCGGCCTGCGCCTCGTGTGCCCCGCGCTCAACCCCGACGAGAGCCACCGCATACAGTCGCACAACGTCACGCTCGACATGTTTGTGAGTACACGCATGCACACCTCTCCACTCGCATTACTCTACGGCGACGGCGAGCACGTGCAGCGCGCCGCCGGCCTGCGCCTCGTGTGCCCCGCGCTCAACCCCGACGAGAGCCACCGCATACAGTCGCACAACGTCACGCTCGACATGTTTGTGAGTACACGCATGCACACCTCTCCACTCGCATTACTCTACGGCGACGGCGAGCACGTGCAGCGCGCCGCCGGCCTGCGCCTCGTGTGCCCCGCGCTCAACCCCGACGAGAGCCACCGCATACAGTCGCACAACGTCACGCTCGACATGTTTGTGAGTACACGCATGCACACCTCTCCACTCGCATTACTCTACGGCGACGGCGAGCACGTGCAGCGCGCCGCCGGCCTGCGCCTCGTGTGCCCCGCGCTCAACCCCGACGAGAGCCACCGCATACAGTCGCACAACGTCACGCTCGACATGTTTGTGAGTACACGCATGCACACCTCTCCACTCGCATTACTCTACGGCGACGGCGAGCACGTGCAGCGCGCCGCCGGCCTGCGCCTCGTGTACCCCGCGCTCAACCCCGACGAGAGCCACCGCATACAGTCGCACAACGTCACGCTCGACATGTTTGTGAGTACACGCACGCACACCTCTCCACTCGCATTACTCTACGGCGACGGCGAGCACGTGCAGCGCGCCGCCGGCCTGCGCCTCGTGTGCCCCGCGCTCAACCCCGACGAGAGCCACCGCATACAGTCGCACAACGTCACGCTCGACATGTTTGTGAGTACACGCACGCACACCTCTCCACTCGCATTACTCTACGGCGACGACGAGCACGTGCAGCGCGCCGCCGGCCTGCGCCTCGTGTGCCCCGCGCTCAACCCCGACGAGAGCCACCGCATACAGTCGCACAACGTCACGCTCGACATGTTTGTGAGTACACGCACGCACACCTCTCCACTCGCATTACTCTACGGCGACGGCGAGCACGTGCAGCGCGCCGCCGGCCTGCGCCTCGTGTGCCCCGCGCTCAACCCCGACGAGAGCCACCGCATACAGTCGCACAACGTCACGCTCGACATGTTTGTGAGTACACGCACGCACACCTCTCCACTCGCATTACTCTATAATCCGCGCTCTCGCACTACGTCAATCTCGACATGTTTGTGAGTGCACCACTCTACTGTCGTTACTCCATGACACAGCATACACTCGCTCAATGTCACCCTTGACATATTTGTGAGTGCACCTCATCATCATCATCATCATCATTACAGCCTTTCATAAGTCCACTGCTGAACATAGGCCTCCCCCAAGGACTTCATAGGGGGGTATTTGCCATAGTTGCCACGCTTAGCGAGCGGGTTGGCAACCGCTGTTTTTTTATTGTAATTTTGGCTATTATCAGGAAGATGCTGCTGCCCATCTCCTGCCTGTTTCCCTTTGTCGCGTTTTACGACACCCACGGGAAGATATGGGGTAGTGGATATTCTTAGAATTATATAATATATTAGTGCACCTCACTCTTCTATAATTACTCTATGACACAACATAGAGTCCATACAACGTGACTATCGACATGTTTGTGAGTACTTCTCTCTGTTGTGTAATTAATCTATGACACTGCATATAGCCGCTCAACGTCACCCCAGATATGCTTGTGAGTGAAACTCTGATTTATAATAATCTATGATAATCAGCTAAAATGATTGAACTATTATTGACGGAATTAAATTCCAGTTGTTTTCAGTTTCCATTTATTTAGTTTAGTCTGATACTAAGTGATTTAGCTCTAGATAATGAACGTCACAAAAAGTAACGTAAGAAAATCCGCTACTTGATATCATCTGAAGTGGTAAAAGGCGAAAGCAGGAAAGAGAAATGGGCAGCGGAATCTTCCTTATAGCAGTTTAGAATAACAAAACTGCAGTTGCCGACCCATCGGTTGCATGGCAACTATGGCAAATCCCCCTATAAAGCAATTTATGGGAAAGACCTATGTTCGGCAATGTATTTTAATAGACTGTAATGATGATAATGATGATAGATAGATCTGATGTTGTAACATCAGAGTACCCACCGGACGATGTGATAAACTGGAGACAGACTCCTAACTGTATCTGGCCTGTTAATGTGTGTGGCAGCAGACTTATCATGTCCTTAAAATATTATATTCCTTAGATATGCAAGTTTCCCGACTTTTCCTTTATCACCAAGTACTTCGTAAATCAGCACTTAAATTTGTAAAAATTTCATTGGTGCCTCAGGATGGGAATATTCAACAAACTCTTACCCCCTGAGCCATTGAGCTTAAACATACAATACATATCTTTACAAAACATAGAACTTAATTATATTAGTAATGACAACATTTTAAGCAGATATTTTCATTTTTCAACAGGATCAGGTATACCAAGAACTTTTAGAAAACACTGCATCTCAAACTAGTGTAGATGAATCAACGTCTCAGGAGACAGAACACATTTACCCACCGACGCCTCCACAATCTGACCACAAGAGCCCTAAGACTCCAGCCACTAAAACACCCTCGACAAGGCATCTATCACCAGTACCTGATATAAGACTGCATTCGGAAATAGAGTGAAAAGTGAAGTGCTAGTGTGTAGTTATGTAGTTGCCTTAGTAGACTTAGTTAGGTGTTTGTATTCAAATTGTAAGCCTGTCTACTGACAGAGTGGTAGATACCTCAAAAATTTAGAAAATTTTCAATACTTTGTCATTAGCATCTGACAAGTTAAAGACACAAAACAGTATTGAGATAGAAATTATTGTTAAAATGGTTTATTGCTTTCAATCTCAATGATAATTTATTACAGTGTCTAAAATGACTGGTTTGTTGCAAAAGTATTGGTTATTTAATATATTTTAATAATAAAACCAAAATTACCAAAATGATGAAAGAATGTCTTACTTAAAAATATTGTTGCAATACATGGCATAGAAAACATAATGCTTACTGTTTTCAGTTTCTTTTATATAGTAAGAATGTTTATACATTCTTTAAAAAAAAATTTACTTAAATTCTTCATATTCTTGAAATTACTTAAAGTGTAATACTTTGCATGTACAGCATTTGTTGAATTTTTAAAAATAAAATAAATGTTATCAATTTAATAATATTGTCAAAAAAAAAAACAATAAAGCTATGATTCTGAGAAAATTTAATTAACAAACTGCATGCGAGAGTGATCTAACGTGGTTTTACAGCTTCTATTAACACACTAATACAAATAATATAGTGTTAAGTGTGCTATTAACAATATTTTCTTAGAACCATAAGCTAATTGTATTAGAACATCACCTTTTTATTCTTCATATAATGCAGTCATATTCTATTTGCTTCATACAATTTTTATTTACTATCAATGATATAGCGATCATTTTTTGGCTGACGATCCAACTACATTTTATTGTAAAACGTGACTTCTGGTTTTGAATTGTTGTGATATGTTCCTACTGTTTTATAATTCTGCGTTCTGGTATTGACTTGAAACCTGATGAATGACCTACGGAGAGGAGGTGATTGATGTTTTAACATTCCATATATTTTACATTTTGTGTAAAACATAACAATAACACGGACAGTCTAAATATAGGTTCAGAGTGAACTGTATAGGATTTAATTATAATGCGCAAACAACGCTAACTAAATTGTAAAATATGTTGTTAGTTGTTACTCTATCTAGCTTATTTTATTAGTAGTTGTGTGTTATAAATGTATTGCAAACCAATCATTTTCAATCAATATATTTGTAAGTATGATAGGCTTTACAGTCAAATTATTTGTATTTCTTCAATATTTATGTAAGAAAACTTGCGCATTATTTTGAATTATACATTTAATTTCGTCCTCTACAGTTTGTGTTTCATCAAGTTAATCGAAAATATGTAAGAGATGATCAGAAACACATTACTTTAGTTATTTATTAAAAATTTTGCATATTTTGCTTATCATTTGCCAGAAATTTAATGGTTAAATAGAAGTTTATAATTTATTACACATCTGTATGGTAATGATTAGCAAATGTTGTTCACGAGACTGATATCAAACCTAAAACATAAATATATAGAGGGTTTCTAGTGAACTGAGGGAACTTCCTAGTGAACCTTAAAAAAACCTTTGAAGCTCTATTTTAGCCAAAGACTGTGCTTCATGCTGGACTAAATGAGGAAAATTAAATCCATGCAATGCAACTGTGAATTTATTTACTTTTTTTTTTATATTTCGATGCATATCAAAGTACAAAATTCCAGCATTTAAAAATTATAAAATCACATCTTGAGTTTTTTTTTTCGTATTATTTATTTTATGCATGTTAAAACATTACTGATTTAAATATCTCAAATTAAACGAATGACGCTAAGTTTTTTGACAATAACTTATATTTAACTTGTGATTTATAAGTGCATTGAGCTGATAAAATAATATCTTTAAAGTATCATATTATATTTCTAGGATATGTAATAATTTTCCTAAGGTATAAAACACAAGTATGAATTGTATATACGCATGGTAATATAAAGTGGCCCATTTAGTAGTGTTGACAAATCAAACTGCGTTTGTTATATTTATTATTGTTGTTAATTTTCTGTACTGCAGATGTGATCTAGTGTAAGCTGTGTGCTTAAAATAATTATTTAACTTAAGTTAATGTAACATTGTTAATCCTAAAATAACCTTAACCTTTTCTCAAATACACCCTTTATTATTACCCAAAAATTGAAAACTATTTTGTAGCTGTATTCATTATTTAGTTATTATTGGAAATCTGTGTCTTATCATCATCTTTAATCTGTATACCAGGGCTTGAAATAAAATAAACTACTGTTACCAATCGCGTTATAACTACGAAATATAACGTTTATGATGTAATGTTAATCAATCAACGTGTTAAAGATAAATAACGTTGTAACGTTGCACGTAATTTCATCAATAATTTTTAACATTATGAAGCCACTGCAAATTAACTTTTACGCGGGCGAAACGACGTACTTAAAATTACGACGTCGACGAGCACTTGTATAATCAACTTTTAAAATTACAACTAACAATTATTTCATTGATGGCGACGTGCCAATTCAGTGCGTGCGCTGTGGTTTTTTCATTAATGACACATTTTATGCAATAACGTTATTTTGTAATAATTGCCGTGAAGTGATGTTTTTTCATCTTCAAAATTCATACTACAATTATAAAGGTATTTAAATATAAGAAACGTTATTTTTTAATGGGATTTAGTTACGTTATCAAGCCCTGCTATATATAATTGCCTGACTTAATTTACAATACCCTACTTTATTTACAATACCCTAACTTGTCTGATGTGCTTCCTTCATTGCCAGTTGGCATCACTGTAGCAAGCTGTCCTCATCAGCTCGTCAGTTCACAGGTAGTCATGTCTATCTCTTATAATTAAAATTATTTATTTGTCGTAATTCCAACGCCTAAGGCATGAATTGGTGAGATTCAAGTACCCTATTTTTTTTTTTCAACAACAATCTTTTCTCAATCAGCATAACACTACTTGCGTTTGGCTGTTGGTTTGGCAATCTTAGCCGCAGATGTCTTGCAGTATTAATTTTGTTTCCCGTTTTAGGTATGGATATGGATATTTAACATCTAGCATATGAATTGGGTATACGAACATCAAGTGCGACATTGAGTGGTATATTCTATGACTGTCCCTTACGCTGCCGAATCTACTTTGGTATTTTTATTTTACAGACATTTGAATGGCCATTTTACATATTAACGAGTATCAGTAGAATATCATCGTTCATAATTCATATATACATGATGCAATGGTATTTAAAATATTTAAAAAAAAACTGAAAATTGAATATACATATCCATGTCAATTAGATCTGTGTATTAACCGCCGTATAGTGGAGGAGAATCCGCTACTCCAAATCATCCCGTGGGTGTTGTAAGTGTCTTAGTTGTGCTTGCCAAACATAGCAACTAAGGCAAATATTTCCATACGGTTTAATGAACGCAAAAACAAAGGTTTTTGCGTTCATTAAGCCGTATGGAAATATTTTCCTTTACGTTTTGTATATTAAACTATGTGTTAATGTTTTTATAAGTTTAAGCATGTGTGTCTGTATATCATAAATCTCTATGTAACAGTAAATTTTTCGGTCTCTAAATTACGGGTCTAATCGCTCACTAGTGTATATAGTGTAATTAATTGCTGCGATCACTTAAATATTATAAATGTATTATACCTTGCTTTTTGTTTTCAAATTGTGCATGTTGTTTCTAAGAAGTTATTAATTTTCTTTTACTAAATATTCTCTACAAGAACTATATCATATCTGCAGTACTTTTCAACCGCATTAAAATATCTAATATTTAGAAAACACATTAATAGTAAACCGAAGTCATCATTCATCATAGATACATATGTTAATCACACACATATGATATATATTGTAAGTACAAGTGTGTGCCCGCAGCCAGCCAGGCACTTAGGTCTGTTTCCCTATTTTAGTAAATTGAAAAGTTTAATTAAGTCGAACGATTACGCTTATCTCAAGGTGGATGATGCCCACCTTATAAATAAGACTTAGATGGATTTGTTAATATCAAAAATAATTTAACCATATTTTTAGTGTTAGCTTGCTTGTAGATTTAAGTTATTTTTATATCAATTTATTGAAAGCTTAATATAAATACTAAATATATATAAGTAGGATTTGTTTTTCAATTGTATTCCGTATATTTGAGGTGTGCGTGATCTCATGGACAGTTTGGATGGGAGCCATACTAACATTGTATGTCGACACTTGTGCAATAAATATGCATCAACTTCGATCACATTTGAATGTCATGGCGTATAGTATTAAATAAAACTGTGTTGATGTCTTATTTTTTATTTTTATAAAAAAACCCAACAATCCTACACATTCATTCATATAAACTATATAATATCAAAATCACGATTAGAGATGAAACCTCCATTGAATCACGGGCGAGGATCTGCCATCCTGCAATGAGAAATGAAAATTGAGTAAATAAATACAGCGCTAAATAAAACACTCGATAGTTTCCATGGGGGGTCAACTCACTATGGAGCCGATGCAAACTTTGGGCAAAATAAGCGAAACAGAGACAGCGCTATACGCAAGACAGAGAAATCACTATTGAACCATGTTACGCATTGTATTTCAATTACAGTTTAGGAACTTTTATTTTTGCTTTTTAATATCTTTGTCGCCTGCCCATTAAAAATTATCTTTACTTATCTTATAAATTATAAACTATATATTTTATAATATACATAACAAATAAAAGTTGTTTAATCCATGAAAGTATAAATTAAATTATACGTTCCGATTATTTTTATGTCCGATTGAAATGATTACTCTGTGCAACAAGCTCTGTAGCCGAAAATATAAATGTATCTATGATTGTTGTGAAATAAAAACTTAAACTAGGTTAATATATTTTACATATTCATAAAATTAAGAAAATAACAACTTTCAAAGTATATTTTACATCAATTAGATATTATTTTAAACGAGAATGTTTCAAATCATTTTCAAATTAAATGGAGTTAGTTTTGTTTAACTTTTCTAAGCCAAATTCAAAACTGATGTCGATTTAGTATATTTCGTAGAAAAATAACTTAAGTGTGGTGTTACTAGCCAGTGAATATTTAATTTATGGTGATTTATCAGAGTTGTATTACTTAATGAAGATGTTTAACGAATAATAATGGATTACTGAAAACGGTGTGTTCTAAGATGCGTCTATAATCATCTTAAATTGAGTGCCCAAGTTTATTTCTGTGTCTATATTACTAGTCAATAATATATTTAAATCTCTATGAAAATAATTGTTTTATTTCTGAAAAACTATTAACCGTGTTCCATTCCAATTTTCTACTTATGTATCAATGCATAGCTAATTATTAACTCTAATCTTCCTCTCAAGGTTTGTGTTATTAAATATTTAAAATTTCCAATTTGTTATTCATTTATTACTATTTCCATTTCAATTTTTTACTAATGTAGAATGTAATTTCTACATTCGTAGAAAATTGGAATGGAAATAGTAATATATTATGATTAAAATAGAATATTGAATGTGGGGGTGGGCAATGAGGAATATACATATACACACGCACACATTCACATCTGTTAGTTCATGGATCAAAAACTGGCGCGCTAGTGTCGCAAGCTGTTGGCATTTTTATTGTATGAAGTTTTCGTTCTTCCCGTCAGGGTACATGCTGTGATAGTTTCTGTCTCAGAGAAATTTAAATTTTCGAGAAGTAAAGCGACATACACTGAAGTAGCGTGGAACACTATTTTTGTTGACCTCTGATGAAAGGCCTATCAGGCTCTAGCAGTGGTGTGTATCTAGGGTCACTCTCACTCATATTTCAAAATAACTGTTTTCTGCAATTTCATCGGCGTGGAATTTATTACGATTGAATTTCATGGGTTTTAATTTTTGCGTGGATCCCTAATTCTTTCTCCAAAAAAAGTACCCTAAGTGACTCGTTATAACATCAGCAATAGTGTGTCGGTGAAAGACCTGTCAAAATCAGTTCAGCCATTTTGGAGATTAGCCGGAACAAACGGACAGACAGACAAACATTTTATAATTGTTTTTTTTTTTTGTTAATAAGTACCGTATATGCATTTAGTAAAAAGCTGTTATTATGACTTTACAAACAGACACTACAATTTTATTTATATAGATCTCAACACTGCTAAATATGTTTTATTTTTTTATCTAAAGTAAGTGATAAAGGAGCTAATAGTACACAGATAGCAAGTGGCCACTGCACCTATTTTCAAACAAATTAGCGTAGGACTAATGTCCGCGAAGCGTGTGTGTACGTGCGAAATAATATTTATTTTTGGGAGGGACTTTATGTACGCGGTATATTGAGGCCCTCTAGTATACGTTACGATGATAATATGCCAAGGAAATGTCCTTCGTCTACGCAGGCCCCTAACTACTAATGTCCGATTCCAATATTAAAGAAATCGTTTGAATTCATCCCGTGGTGGATGTAAAAACAATTAATATTAAAAACTGTTCATTCGGCAACTTAGAATAACTTAAAATGAAAAATAAAAAAAACTAAACGGTTCAGAAATATTGAAACTGGTGTTTTGTTTTTTTTTTAAAAAAAAAAAACAGTTATCATGCACTTTATTTATTCCAAATAGATTCCAGATAGACCTAGAAGTCTTAAGCATAAAAGGATCTCTATCAACTAAGAAAATATCCATCCATTCTTTACAGTTTTTAAAAATCCACTCCAGTTACCCACGATTGGCTGGCGGGTTAAACAACTATAGTTTTTTATTATTTTGTTGAGTTGCTATCGGGAAGATACTGCCTGTCTCAGTTTCTTTGAATATTGCGATATTATAGAGATATAAGTAATATAAATAAATTAATACAAATAAATAAAATAGGTGTGTGTTTGTAATGTCAATATAACAGCTTTTTACTAAATGCATATGAAAGTATATAAGGTACTTATAACAAAAACAATTTTTAAAATTTTTGTCTGTCTGTCTCTCTGTCTGTCTGTTTGTTTCGGCTAATCTCTGAAACGGCTGGACTGATTTTGACATAACTTTCACTGACAGATAGCTAATGTTATAAGGAGTAACTTAGGCTACTTTTATTTTAGAAAGAGATTTAGAGTTCCGCGCAAAAAATTAAAACCAAAGTACACGCGAGCGAAGTCGCGGGGTACATCTAGTAAGAAATAAACTAAATCTCCTTTACCACTACGTTACGTTACTACGTTACTAGAAGATCGCAAATCGCAACTAAACAATCAATAGAGTGTAATATATAATAGCAGTCGCCTCTTAGGACACCCCCGGAACGATATGCGGTAGCGAATATTCTTACACCGCCACTACACGTTGGAAAAAAATGTATGTAGAGCGTAGTTACAAGTGTATGGAGACGTGCGGCGAGGCGGCCACGGCGGAGGCGTCCTGCGGCGTCAGGAACACGAACTGGCGCGACGCGTTGCGCAGCGCGTGGTCCACCAGCAGCTCCACCACGATCTTGCGGTTCACGTTGTCCTGCGGGACACATGCTTTTACACTACAGCTGTCAAACTCGTTTTTTTATAGAACCACGGCAACACAAGAACTTACAGCGCCTTATGGTAAGTGGTTAGTGTTGCCCTTGGACATCTACAACCAATTTCAAACAAAGAAGGCTACAGGATATGTTCTCACCTCTGAGCACTGAGATGGAATCCTCACAACCTGTAATTATACTGTTTTTTTTTTTACTTTTGACTTCAGACTGAAACAGCGGTGTATCCTTTGCCTTGCCGCAATTACCAGACAGAAAAAGAGCTATGATATAGTCTAAAGGGCCGTTTACAATATTAAAAGTGCGTTAACGAGCTAAACTCAAAATAAATTAAGGCAAAAAAAATTATAAAAGACATTTTTACTTAAGAACTAAGAGTTGGACAGTGTGAATGAAAGTGAAGTAAATGTACAAAGTATCAAAACTATAACTCATTGGGAAGTTACTTTAATATCAATTGCATAATGTGTACTGAACACAAGGAAAGCGAATGAATAAAAACGATAAATAATATAAAACAAAATTTATAAAATGATGTATTAAACATATATAATACATCACGTTTTACACGTTTTATTTTATATTCTTACATTGTCATTAGATTCTGAGCTGAGTTCATAATTTCAAGTCTAGCTCATCTGTAAGTTAGTTTAAAAGCAATTACAAAATACGACCCGAACAGACATAATCGAAAGAGAGTTAATAAGAATATGGTAATAAAATGAATAAAAAAGAACATGGTAAAACAATAAAAAAGAAAGTGGTAATAAAAAAGGCACCAGCGACCGACCATGAAGACGTCGAACTCGTCCATGAAGTAGAAGGGCAGCTCGACGCAGTCCCAGAGCGCCATGATGAAGGCGACGGTGGAGTAGGAGCGCTCGCCGCCCGACAGCGACGACGTGGAGGCGGCGCGCCGCGCCTCGCCCTCGCGCCCCGAGCACGCGATCTGCAGCGTGCCGCCCGCCTGGTCGATCTCCATGCGCCCCTGCGAACACCTCACCATTGCCCACAAATGCCCACGCTCGCCACAATACGGCCTAATAATCTCACGCCCACCACATGTCACAAGTTGGGACCGACGTGAACTTATTTATCACGCAGTGTCAACATCGTTGGTTGATAAGTTGCATTAAAAGTTAACATTTTTCGGTTACTAGTATATTAACACAAATCAATGACTCACTGCTATGTTCATTAATTTTATACATATTTCAAACAATATTTTTAAGTTTTCTATTTTTAGGAATATATAGTTAATATAGGAGAGCGACACTAAAAGTTTTTAGAACTGGCCACTAAACCACGGTACTAAACATATATTATTAAAGTATTTTTTTATCCTGGTCTATATATTTTTTAAAGGGACTAAAATTCTATTTTTCTTCTTCATATTCTTACGTTGTAATCGGACTCCGTGCTATGTTCAAAATTTCAAGTATCTAGCTCATCGAGAAGTTAATTTAAATATAATTACTAAATTCGAACTGTACAGACGTACACGAAGGCGAATTAATAAAAAAGTGGTAAAAAAATATCAAGTGAACATGAAAACCAGTGGCGTAACTAGCGTAGGGCTAGGTTGGGCAGTGCCCCGGGACCTCCAAGCTCAAAGGGACTACTTTTTTCTACCTTCCACCCGCGACTTCGTTTGGTACGACCTGGTATCGACCAACATTGAAAATTATCCCACAGGATTCTTTTATCCGGATAAAAGTATCCAGTATCTTACCCAGGACAAGCTCTATCCGTGTGCAAAATTTCATCTAAATACATCAAGTAGCTTTCTTGAAAGCGTAACAAACAATTTTAGAAACAATTCAATCATTTTTTCCGAAAAATGTACAAAGGTCATAAAATTACAGCTGTTAAGAAACTTGGTGACGATTATTTGTGTATGACTGTTACTTACTGAATAGCCCCTCAATGTTAATAACATTATTAGAACGATTAAATATTATCCGCTGCGTTTTACATAATCCTTTTTTTTATATAGGAGAGGGGGCACACGAGCATACAGCTCACTACCTGATGGCAAGTGACTACCGCCGCCCATGAGCAACTGAAACAAAAAGAGCAGGTGCGTTGCCGGCCTTTTAAAAAGGAGTAAGCTCTTTTCTTGAACACTTACTGGTAAGTAGCTTTACTTTATGTCTTGCGATGGGCTATAAGGATCTGAAGATTAAGTAGTTTTGCACCTTTAAAGTAATTAGTTTAAATAGGTCCTCAAACTCATTTTTGCCCTGAGCCCTTGGTTACATAGCTACTCCACTGATGAAAACGTTCGATACTTGGCATATTCACGCCTACCGAAATCGTTAATGAAATTATTTTGTACATCACTAATACACATGTCATTACAGTCACCTTTGACTTAATCTAACGCCTTTTTTCATGTTAATACCATTTTCATGTTTCCAAATGATCCCCGTTATACTTAATTTAATAAACAATTCAATTATTTTTCTCGAAATTTGTAAAAAAGTTATTAAACTATAGGTGTTAAGAAAGTTGGTGACGATTATTTATGTATGACTGTTACTTACTGAATAGCCCCTCAATGTTAATATTGACTGGAAACAATATTGCACTCTGCGAGCTATGTATGTTTGCACTTTATGGCAAAACTTCAGGTGTTTATCTGTGGTGGCTTTAATCTGAAACAAGAATTACTATTATTTTTAATCGATAATTATTATTAATAAACGAAGAAGAAGCCTGGTGTTCTATTATTAAATAACGAAACATACTCATTCGCCAGAATAACGGAAAAAAAATTATATAAGCATTGACAGATATGCAAAACAAAATTGTTATATTTGTTTTTAAATATTTTTTTATAGGACAAACGAGCACACAGTCCATCTGATTGTAAGTGGTTTTGGATTAAAATGCAGATGTGTTGTCAGCCGTGAGGACTAAGATGGAATACCTCGTATCCAGTAAAAAGGGTCTCCGATTCTCTACACTCACCATACGAAACACAGCAGCATTAAGCTGCTATTTTACGCTGGCATTCTGTGAGAGCGTGGTCCTTCCCCGGTCGAGCCGAACCATTCGTGCTACAACTACATAATTAATATAGCTGCAGCACGGCTCTTAGTTTTATAACCACGTTTATCTTAATGCTAATTGATATTTAGAGGACCATGATGAAATTATCAATATTTTATATAGCCTACAAGTAATTTTTCTGCGTCTGGATTATTGTAAACCGCCTCCACGATACAGACTGCTAAAAAGATGATCAAGTCAATCAAGATCAAGACAATCAAAAGATTTGACGGCTCCGTGGCGCAGTGGCTTAGCAATAAGTTGCTGCGATGGGAGGCGCGGGTTCGAATCCCGCACGGAACAAGTATTTGTATGGCCTACAAATAATTGTTCCGGGTCTGGATGTTTGTCCTTTTTTCCAATTTGTGTTTGTAAACTGCCTCCACGATACAGGAGAAAATGCTAGTGTGGGGGTAACGTTTTTTTTAAATAGAAAAAAAAGTGTAGTTCAGATATTTACTATTTGATTTTATAAACTACTAGCGATCCGCCCCGGCTTCGCACGGGTGATTTCTGGATTTCGACAGACAACAGCGCCGCCACCTATCAGGTCCAATTGTAAATCGTTTAGATCATCTGGATGGATGGATCTCAAATAAACACAAAAATTTAATCTAAATCGATCCAGCCATAATCGAGTTTTTGCGAGACTAAGGGAGCAATTGATTTTTATATATAGAGATAGATTACTATATTGAGTTATTTCTGAATAGCCCTCCATCATACTGTTTGAGCTTACTAAAATAAAATAAATATGCTATTTAACGGTTAAGTGTTCTTAAAATTATGAAAAAATTTTTTTTCATTTCTTACTTCGATTTACTAGACCTTCATCACCACCGACCAGCAGGTGGGATTGTAGTTAAGCAGTAGGCACTTATTTTTTTTTCTTTTATAGGATAGGGTGACAAACGAGCACACAGTCCAACTGATGGTAAATGGTTGCTGTGACCCATAGACATCTACATTTATCCTCGTCTACGAATCAAAATGCAGGCACGTTGTCACCCGTGAAGACTAGGATGGAATGCCTCTTTTCCAGTAAAAAGGGCCGACCCATTCGTGCTACAACTATACTATTAATATAGCTGCAGCATGGCTCTACCACGTACAAATATTTCACAGTACAAATATATTCCTCGATTATATTATGTACATAATATGTATAAAATAGAACTACATATTATTCGAACTATATAATATTACAAAGCAGCATTGTTTTTGGATTTAGAAAATTTAATAATTTATTGTAGCATGTAAATCGCCATATACGATAATGCTACGATTTTTCGTAGAGCCTTGTAGAACCGCTACGACACGAGCTACGAAAGAAGTAGACAGCTACACGATCGCTACGCAGTCACAAATTAAAATCCTGTTTATTTTTATGCTTTTTAGAGTGATGACCTGGTGAGACATGTAGGAAGTCGAAGGATGCAGGTGACTTAAGACCGTTTCATGTTGCATTCTTTGAGGTAGGTCAATGTTCAATGGCAGTAGTGAGAACTTTACAAGTTCACAATGGCAGTGAACTTTTAAAGGGTTATATTATGATGATGATGCTTTTATCCAGAGTTCCACGTTTTTTAAAAGGAACTGTTATATATCTTTTTACAACGCAGTTAAATCTTAATAAGCATTTATTTAATCCACAGTACTTTTCCTACATATGACGTCAGTCAGTAATTGCATTGTTCTTTTCTACGAGTATATTAATTTTTATTCCATTTTAATGGTCACTTAGATTCAGAGCTCCGGGTAGATCGGACATAGATTCCGAGACGTATTAGAGTTCGGACGTCAAGGTTAATATTAATTGTGTGTGTGAACTTTTTATAATAAACCCTTAGGTTTACTTAGTGGTTTTTTAAAAAAAGGCAAACGGGTTCGGCCTCCTAACAGAACCCCTATAATTTTATTCTGTCCATCTGTCCTGATGGGCCACACAGCATCATAACTCTTGAATTGATCCAAGTATACATATTATTTTTTAAACAGATTTATAAAATTACTAAGCGAAAATTACAACAAACCGTGGAATAACATAATATTAAATCTTTGACCAATATTTAAAATACAGAAAAAATAAACAGCTATATATTAACAATTAAATAAAAAAAATGGACATAAATTTCCAACGCTATATGCACGCAAGTGTAAAGAAGGCATCAAGTGTAAAGTTAGTGTGCTCGATAGCTTATTTTTGAATAAAGTTGTCATTCTGCTTTCATCAGACTAGTATGTTCTGTGATCGTTAAGAACCCTCTTACATTTCGGCGTTTCGCAAAATTAGGTATTTTACGCACCGAGCGGGCGGCGAGCTACGCGACCGATACTTTCTTTCATATCTATTCACTCGCTCGCACTATGATACTGCGAGTAGGGCGATTAAACGATCTTGAACTTCCATAATACAAAGTTTTCTTAGGATGGACTTCAGTGAATGGAAAATTTTTTGGTGTGTCATTTTAATGTTATCTTATTAATTTATTATTATATAATTTATTATTCATCATTATATACCATTTTGATATATTTTTCATTATTTATGAAATTTAGTGTCAAAACATACACATAAATATTTTAATTGTTACGCCGTAATCTAATGTTAATATAATCGATTATGTCTACTACCGGTAGAATAGTGGTATAGATAAATAAATAGTACGGTTGCAACCTGTTTTAATAAATAAAACAACCAAATGTAAGTAATATTTTTTAATCGGTACTTACAGTCAATTACCATATTTTTTATTAGAAAAATATTTGTTGCGACGGCATTGACCGAACTTTTCTCGAGTCGATAATTTCAGGCAGTATACACTTTTCATAAAAAGATTGTAACTTGGGTAACATATTGAAAATCTAAAATTGGTCGTCTTTGTAAATTTTTAGTACTTTTACTGCATAATCTGGGCCAATACATATTATGGCAAGTATTCAGACATTTTTATTTGCTAAATGAAGCTGGCCTTGGATTTGGTAAAACCAGTCATGATTTTGATTTAATGTTACACTTGAATCACTGAATTTATAACCTTTAACTTTTTTTTTGTTCGAAAGACCGTTTCAAAATCTATTCCGAAAGCTGAAATAGGACATTTAACTTCAATAAGACCGTCGCTGTATAAACCATTAGGTGAAGCCCTCAAATAACAATGATCTAGGTCCATGAATAGACCACATTTTTCTATAATAATATTTTCTTGTTTGCTCAATTGTGCCAATGCTACAGACTCGTTGTCCCTACCATGTTTGAAGAGACGTGATCTAGATTATAACTATATAAAATAGTTTTAAACCGATCGATCAAAAACTATACTATAGTTGACGATGCACTAGCACGCAGGCAATCGACGCACACTACGGTAGTATAGAAACGACGCAGCGCGCGAAATCAACGGACGCAGGTTCAACCTCGACAAGCGCTCGCGATCGCAAATCATGTCTTCGAGAGTTTTTGCCTAACATGCATCGGGAGAATGATTATTACTGAATAAATAAATAAGTTATCTAAAATTCGCTTTGAGCTTATTTGAGAAGAGAAAACGAGCTATTTTTACCAAGTAATTGTTATTTCAAGCAACGAACGATAAACATACAATTTGAACAAGGAAACCTTGTAATTACGCGTTTTTTTGGAATACGCCTCTTAAAAATAAAAGTTTCATATACCACTAATATCCAGCTACGAGCAACTGACAACAGCCAGAAGTACTTACGTCATCAAACATTCGTAGACGCTCCAGTGTGAGTTGGGCACGGACATCCAACTGCAGTCAGAGGTACTTACGTCGTCAAACAGTCGTAGACGCTCCATTGTGAGTTGGGCACGGACATCCATCTACAGCCAGAGGTACTTACGTCGTCAAACAGTCGTAGACGCTCCATTGTGAGTTGGGCACGGACATCCATCTACAGCCAGAGGTACTTACGTCGTCAAACAGTCGTAGACGCTCCATTGTGAGTTGGGCACGGACATCCATCTACAGCCAGAGGTACTTACGTCGTCAAACAGTCGTAGACGCTCCATTGTGAGTTGGGCACGGAGATCCATCTACAGCCAGAGGGACTTACGTCGTCAAACAGTCGTAGACGCTCCATTGTGAGTTGGGCACGGACATCCATCTACAGCCAGAGGTACTTACGTCGTCAAACAGTCGTAGACGCTCCATTGTGAGTTGGGCACGGAGATCCATCTACAGCCAGAGGTACTTACGTCGTCAAACAGTCGTAGACGCTCCATTGTGAGTTGGGCACGGACATCCATCTACAGCCAGAGGTACTTACGTCGTCAAACAGTCGTAGACAGTCCGGTGTGAGTTGGGCACGGACATCCATCTACAGCCAGAGGTACTTACGTCGTCAAACAGTCGTAGACGGTCCAGTGTGAGCTGGGCACGGACATCCATCTACAGCCAGAGGTACTTACGTCGTCAAACAGTCGTAGACAGTCCGGTGTGAGTTGGGCATGGACATATGTACATCTACAGCCAGAGGTACTTACGTCGTCAAACAGTCGTAGACAGTCCAGTGTGAGTTTCGCACGGACATCCATCGACAGCCAGAGGTACTTACGTCGTCAAAGAGTCGTAGACGGTCCAGTGTGAGTTGGGAACGGACAACCATCTACAGCCAGAGATACTTACGTCGTCAAACAGTAGTAGATAGCCCGGTGTGAGTTGGGCACGGACATATGTACATCTACAGCCAGAGGTACTTACGTCGTCAAACAGTCGTAGACAGTCCGGTATGAGTTGGGCACGGACATATGTACATCTACAGCCAGAGGTACTTACGTCGTCAAATAGTCGTAGACGCTCCATTGTGAGTTGGGCACGGACATCCATCTACAGCCAGAGGTACTTACGTCGTCAAACAGTCGTAGACAGTGCAGTGTGAGTTGGGCACGGACATCCATCTACAGCCAGAGGTACTTACGTCGTCAAACAGTCGTAGACAGTCCGGTGTGAGTTGGGCATGGACATATGTACATCTACAGCCAGAGGTACTTACGTCGTCAAACAGTCGTAGACAGTCCAGGGTGAGTTTCGCACGGACATCCATCTACAGCCAGAGGTACTTACGTCGTCAAAGAGTCGTAGACGGTCCAGTGTGAGTTGGGAACGGACAACCATCTACAGCCAGAGGTACTTACGTCGTCAAACAGTAGTAGATAGTCCGGTGTGAGTTGGGCACGGACATATGTACATCTACAGCCAGAGGTACTTACGTCGTCAAACAGTAGTAGATAGTCCGGTGTGAGTTGGGCACGGACATATGTACATCTACAGCCAGAGGTACTTACGTCGTCAATCAGCAGTCGTAGACGGTCTAGTGCGAGCTTTGTACGTCGGTATTTGCGCTCTACAACAAGCAGTCGCTCAGCCACTTCAGCTCGACTGAGTCCGTCGCTACGGATAGAGCTCAGCTTTAACTGAATCTTCTTAAGCTCGCTTGTTACTAACGCCTTATCCCTGACAATACGCAATTGCAAATCATTATTACATAAGTCGGCAACTTAAATATATAAAAATAATGGTAAAAAAATAGTTAGGTGTCGGGTAAACGTAATTCCAAAAAATTAATTGATAAAAATGGTAAAATACGTCAGTAACTAAGCAAGCGGCGTGGTTTGTAACCGACCATGAACTGTATATTAAAGCTATTGCCATATTAAAGCAAAATAAACGTGGTAGAGCCATGCTGCAGATATATTAATAGTATAGTTGTAGCACGAATGGGCCGGCTCAGAGAATACCAGCTTAAAATAGCAGTTTAACGCTGCTGTGTTTCGTATAGTGAGTGTAGAGAACCGTTTTTGACGAGACCCTTGTTACTGGAAAAGAGGCATTCTATCTTAGCCCTCACGGCTAACAATGCATCTGCATTTTGATTTGCAAACGAGGATAGATGTAGATATTTATGGGCCACAGCAACCACTTACCATCAGGTGGACTTATTATATAAAAAAGAAATAATTTGGATCAACGTGTAAATGCTGACTGCGCGCGCTCTGACGTAAATGCTACGTAAATGTACTTCGTACACCAAGAAAAGATCACGATGCCTTGCAGTAATCTAACTAGCATTTATGATATGATCTGAGGGGGAGATAAACAGTATGATAAAAATTGACTTTTTTTACAATTACGAGTGGACTAAAAATATAACAATATCCACGTCGTCTTAAAAGTTACACTAAAATCTTCATGGTATATTCTGACACTTCTTATTGCCATTTCTTAGATTTTTTTTCTCCACGGTTATAATTGTGGCCTTCAGCTCTTATAGGAAATCTTATTTAATGGATCAAAACACCCTCCCCGAAATAGTATTTTTTCATAAAAGCTATTAGAAAAATTTACTTCGCAAATATCCGCGTTATAAAATAAAATGATGTGTCTTACCTAGTATGAAGAGCACCTCCCGCCCTCCCTCAATCGCGTGCACTATCCCCGTCACCACTAATCCCAGCACCGCCACTCCCAACACCACTACACTAGGCAAGACACACCACTGATGACAATACGACACGTGTTTCGCCTCTACACGAGGCATTCTCAGGTGATATAGACTCTACGGTAGCTACCGTAGAGACTCTAGTCACTACTCGTCAGTGGTGTGTCTTGCCTAGTGTAGTGGTGTTGGGAGTTGCGGTGCTGGGATTAGTGGTGACGGGGATAGTGCACGCGATTGAGGGAGGGCGGGAGGTGCTCTTCATACTAGGTAAGATACATCATTTTATTTTATAACGCGGATATTTGCGAAGTAAATTTTTCTAATAGCTTTTATATAATGGATTTCCGCAAAGTAACGCCTGATTCTATTAATTAGTATTTTTTCAAATGTAAACAGGAAACCGTATAGTGGCGGTGTAATTATCGACCCGTGGGTGTTGTAAGAGGCGACAGAGGGAAACTAAAACAAAAGATGGGCACCAGCACCTTCCTGATATTAATACCCGCCCATCAAGCGTGGCAACTATGGCAAATCTAAGAGGCAATCTACGGGCGACGCCTATGTTCAGCAGTGCACTTTTATAAGCTGTAATGAATGAAAATAGATGAAACATTACAAAAATCCAATAGAACCACATCAGCAGTCGTCTTGATCTATGACGTCTTGAATTTTTGAATAAAAACTCTTGCACAATGATGACTTTAAAATATAGTATATAGTATTATCGTGGTGTAAAGTCCATGATGTCTTTTCTCAAATGTGGTCCTTTTCTGCGGAATTTTCCCCACAAGCGGTGCCTGTTAATCTAGATAAATAAATAAAAAAACTAGCTACCTTGGATTTTCAACCCTAGGGCACAGAGTAAGCGCCTCTTCGATTTTCTTCGCAACGAAGACTTGTTTATCTTTCAGAATAGCATCCACTTGGGATAGTTTCGATTTCTCTTCTTTTAGACGCTGCTGGTAGTTGCGTCTGTCCGAAACGGCCCGGTCTAATTTCAGTTGTTCTTGTTCAATTTCTTCCTGTTAGCAAAAACTATATAAAAATATCACTTTATAAGTACATAAATTATTTATGTAAGCACAGTAACTTTAGAATTAAAAATAGTTGTGTTGTGTTAGATTGTCCACACTTTCAACTTCTTTTGATACCTCAATTTCGAATTTATTCTTATTTAAAAGTTCACTAATGTACGTACGCACGCACACACACCTACATATATTTTTAAACAGCACAATCGGACTCTATGAGCCTTAAAACGTAGAGATATTTATTATATTTAAATTTAGATTTTCAAATATCAAGCCCATTACAAAAACATTGCTTCCCAGGACAGCGATATTTTCCAAACCAAATGTAAATTAGACATAAGAATGACTTTCGATAAGTATTATTTATAATCTGTATTGAATAGACCAACCGATCTTCGACCTAAGAAAAAACAATAAAATAATTATGGATAACTCACAACAAGACTGCGGCAAGTAGAAGCGACCTGCGCCAGTTCAGGTTGGACCTTCCTTATCTTCACTTCTTGCTCTTCGATGTGCTGCTTAAACTGCTGCTCCTTCTCGGCGCACGCTTCTGCCTTTTTGTTTAACGTCTGTAGTTTTTCCTTCGACACATTTAACTCTTCAACCTGCGCAAATAAATCGTCTAAAGTTAAAAATAATTATTTCCTGCATATAATTATACTTAAGATTATGAGACTGATGAGTGTTGTGGTAGGTCGGGGGCTAAATGCTCGTTATAGATCCCACAGTACGCGAGCAACCCCGGGTTTGAATACTGAAAACACCGATGAAATTGTTAAATGCTGATTTACCACGTGCTCGGCGGTGAGGGAAAACATCACGAGAAAACCTGCATATCTGAGAAATTAAAAAAAATATATAATTGGAAAATTATGTAAAGTCCACCAACATGCAATGGTGCTACGCGGTGGACGCTTCTTTGTCTTAAAATCCTCTCATAAATTACATAAAACAAGAGGTAAAATAAAAATTGTACAACCAACTTAAATATGAATAAAATGGGAACATTATCAATGTAGTCGAAGTCAATCAAATACGCATTATTAAAGATAGCTAAAAAACTTCCGGTCGGATCTTGATCAAATTTATATGGGACCACATGAAATCCACAATGGAAATCCAACCACATGAAATCATCGAAATCGGTTCACCGAGAAAAAAGTAATGAGTAACACACATAAAAGTCGATTTGAGTACCGTTCTCTTTTCGAAGTCGATTACAAAAAGAGAGATCTGTCCTTAAGTATTAGAAATATGTAAGCAATGAGGGCATCCACGACTTTTTCTGCCACCAGGGCGGCGCCACTAGAGAGTGAGGTATAATATTTGACAGATTTCATAGCGGGGAAGTTAATTTGATCGGAAAATGTATTGTTATTGTTTCTTTATGTACTATTAGCTATATTTTATATTAATAAGATTAAAAATAAATAAAGGGGAGTGCTTTTAGCCGGGATGGAAGATGTGATTTAGATGTGGACAGGCGTGTCGCTGCCAGGAACAAAGTCAAGCAAGGCGTAGTGAAGAGTGCACGCCTTGCAATACATAACGCAGTGTTGGTACCGACTTTGTTATATGGCAGCGAAACCTGGGTATGCCAGAAGAAGCATAAAAGCAAGTTGAATGCAGTGGAGATGCGATCTCTTCGTAAAATGTGCGGCGTTACCATGGCCGACCGAAAGCGAAACGAAGAGATTCGTAATATGGCAGGTTTGAAAGATGACCTTATCACAAAAATTGATAAGGGCGTGCTTCGATGGTTTGGGCACGTTGAGCGAATGAGTGAAGACTGAATGGTGAAGAAAATATATAGCGCGAAAGTTAATATTAAAAGGTGTCGAGGTAGACCGAGACTACCTTTAGAAAACCATGTGAGCAAATTGCTCGAAGAGGGCAGGGTCAAAAGTACTCGGATACCTAGACGTGCATGTATGAAGAAGATAATGAATCTGAAAGAAGCGAAAGAGGTATGTAAGGATCGTGACACTTGGCGATCTGTTCTCTCTGGCTACCCCGTCAGGGATTGTGCGTGAAGATAAGTAAGTAAAAATAAATAAAACAAACCACATATAATCATAAAAGTAGAAAAATTAAAATAAAATATACAAATGTGCAAAAAATTAAAGAATATTATTAATATAATACTCTGGAAACTGATAAACTTTTATTAAAAACCAACTTCTTAATGAAAATACATTGCGTAACAAAAAACTTTACCTCAGTGTCAACTAGCGACATCTGTGAGTAGAAAATTATTAGCCCTCATTAGATACAACCTAAGTTACATTATTATGTAGTGTTATACTACTTACGTATCATTTTACATTATTTTAAATTCATTTTTCCATTCTGTTTCGATTTTCTGCATTCACCTCAAAACTGGATATTTTACATCACCTTTATTTCCATAGGATCCTGTAACGATTTTAAACCATAAGAACACAATAACAAATCATTTCTACTTCGTATTTTCACATTATCAGCACTTTTAAATTGGTGTCAATGGAGTCTACCTTTTTTCGATCTTTTAGCTAGTTTTCCGTAACTCTACAATCTTGGGCTTTGTGTGGGCAGCTGCGCTACCTTTTTTCCTATATCAATAATATCTCATTTTCCACTTAAATCTTACCGTTTTCTTATTATAAACCAAAAACAAAAATTTGACATGTTTTGTCTTTCTTATTTATATCGTTTCCATGGTGATTATATTCAAATTTGCTACCGATCTGTTATTCCTATTTCGATAATTCCACATAAATCCTCTTTTCTCTTGACCATTTACAAAAAATTTGCGTATAATTTAAATAATTTTTCCGTTCTCTCTAGAAAGGTATAAAAGCCGAACAATCGGTGAAGAAAGGCAGTCTCGCTTCAGTTCGCGAATTGGAAGTATCTCCTAAAGGCCTTATCCCGGGGCCGCACTGCCCCGGGATCCTGCAAGCCTCCACCTACACGTGAAGTCTTCGGCGAAGCCTTCTTCAAACGCGGAGCCGCACCACTCCGGATTCCTACAAGCCTCCATCTACCTCGGAAGTCGCTTCAAGTCTACTACAAGCGCGGGGGCCACACTACTCCGGGCACTACTACTACTTACTCCAGGCGCCGAGTGCACCTACCGCCGGCGCTACCTTTGGGCGCTGCAACTGCTGGCTCTAAGCGTTGCGCGCCCCTTCTCCAGGCGCTACGTGCGCCGGCTCCGGACGCTGCGTGTACTGGCTCCAGGCGCTGCGCGCCGTCGCTGCTAAGAAACCTACCTCTACAAGCGCAAACGGCGTGTGCTGGCTTCAGGCGCTGCGTGCCGTCGCTGCTAAGAAACCTACCTCTACAAACGCAACGTGTGTCACTTCGACTTTTAGGCCCCACTACAACACTATATTCCCCTATTCTCTCACCTTTATTTTTTTTATAATCTAATTGTATTCTCACTTCATTCATCATCATCCTCATTTCATTTTTTTTATAAAATTGTAAATACCTTTTATAAATTTAAATATATTGTTTTCTGGCTCTACTTTTGTTGTTTTGTTGTACTTAGGTTAGGTTCTATTTTTTTTTAATTGTCGCTTCACGACAATTATTATTATATCGAGTCAGAACGAAACATAATCGCACGAGTCTCGTCCCACAAGTGGAACGTATATAGGTTGTAACTATAATTTATAGAACTATGTTGATCACCTGTGTTTGATATGAAATAAGAAAAACTAATTTGGAAGACATGTGAATTTCGTCAACACGCATTGGGGCAGCGTGGCGAATATTTCCTTTTTTTTTTTTTTTTTTTTTTTTTTTTATAGGATAAGGGTGACAAACGAGCACACAGTCCACCTGATGGTAAGTGGTTGCTGTGGCCCATAGACATCTACATCTATCTTCGATTAAGAATCAAAATGCAGATGCGTTGTCACCCCTGAGGACTAAGATGGAATACCTCGTTTCCAGTAAAAAGGGTCTCCGGTTCTCTACACTCACCATACGAAACACAGCAGAGTTAAGCTGCTATTTTACGCTGGTATTCTGTGAGAGCGTGGTCCTTTCCCGGTCGAGCCGACCCATTCGTGCTACAACTCTATAATATAGCTGCAGCATGGCTCTACCACGTATAAAATCTGTGCCCAGTAGTTTGACGTATTTAGGCTGTTAATTTACTTTACTTAAGCTCGCTTGTTACGAGGGGAGGTCAAAAGGTTCGCGGAATGAAAGGAAGGAACGGGGTGAAATTAACAATGAATTTATGTTTTCCTTTTTGATATACAGGGTTATTTTGCAATAAACGGCGAAATTTGCCGAGAAGGTGCAGAATAAGTAATATAGGCAAATGGTGAAGAAAAATTAATTAAAAAAAATCTCAAACAGTCCTTTATATCTTTTAAATTCAAAATGCGTGGTAATTCATTATTTTAACTGATTTTACTGCGCACGCACACATTCGTAAGGGTCGATAAGTAGGCAAAAACGTTGTTGCCCATAAATCACATTCAATTTGGGATAATTTCTAATAAAAGTAGAAGCCTTATTAACGCGTATTTAAAAAAAAACTGCAATAACGGTGTCTTATTATTTATATATTTGAACTTAAGTTTAAAATTTGGCTAATCTTTGAAAAATAACCCTGTATTCTCCATTAACCCTAACACATTTCTCAGGCCATCATGTGTAACCCCCCCCCCCCACACCAAGCTCTTATTTCATACATATTTGATTTCTGTATCTTGTCGCTTTTTCTAAAATTAAAAAATATATAGTAATTAATAAATATAAAGTACTCTTATTTCATATACAATGACACAGCTTAGGACCTGAATGTCTAAATTACCTTAAATTTAAGGTCTTTAAATTAGTCTTCAGTTAAAGATATATTATAAATCAAACGCAATGTTATAAATCAAACAAAACGTTCGAAACTTTTTAAAATTTAATGATTTCATATATTTACGGGAACACTACACATTGAATAAAACTACCTATGCGGATTTTATCGCGTTTAACTAACTTTTTTTTTAATTCCCGACGTTTCGAGTGCATTGCGGCACCCATGGTACCCCATGCGTGCCGTAACTTTAAAATTTATTATTAAAGATATCAGGAATATTTCTTATAATACTTATTACAATAGTTGGAGAGATAATACTAGATGAAACAAAATATTCACATCAGTTATTCCTATGAGTTACACTACTGATTGTGCCACACTCTTTCAATCATTCTAAAGCTTTGATTAGCAATAATTTTAGCGTGAAATCGTACTAATGATTAAATAAAATGTTAACATAAATTAATAAACATAAACCACTTGTATAAAGAAAAACAAAAAATTGTGAATAAAATGAAACTAACTTGGTAGGACAGTCTCAGTGGAACGTAAAAAAACAGCAAGGCTGTGTTCCACCCTGAATACCAAAATAATTTAAATTGAAAATTTAAAAATTTTGAAAATTTAAATTGTTCACGTCTGCTAAACATATTTAGTTATTCGTGTATTGATTTTATGAAAAGTAGGCTTCAGTATTTAATTAGATCGTATAATTGATTTATTAACATCTAATGAAATAAATACAACATTAAAAAACTATAATAAAGAAGAATTATGGCAGGAGACCCGACGGTATGATATTGATCCCTTGGGAGAAACCTAATGATGCTACTTGCGTAGACACTGGCGGCCTCTCATCTCAGGGGTCAGGGGTGCCTCCTTTAGAGCCGGAGCGGCATTAGAGGCAGCTGAACTGAGTAAGTGGCGCAAATATGAGTCTCCGAGAGAAGACTACATATTTGTGCCATTTGGTGTAGAGACTATCAACCAGTGGGGTCCACGTGCGCGTCTATCCGCGGCTGGTCGTCGCTGTTGTTGATAAGAGGGCTGTTTCTTTTCTCACTCAAAGGCAAGTATAGCCATTCAGCAAGGAAACGCAGCCAGCATTATTGGCAGAATAACAAGGGGAGTAGGACTGTATGATTATTTAAATTTGAAGTTTTAGTTTTTCTTTTATTAATATATAGAATATAAAAAAAAACTGAAACTAATTACTTAATTATCGTAATTATTATAGTTTTGTGTGTGTGTGTGTGTGTGTGTGTGTGTGTGTGTGTGTGTGTGTGTGCACACTTCACTCACTCATTCACACATGCACACTCACCAGCAGGGCGTGTTGCGACACATGCTGCTAATCGAGCGTCGCCACGTCCCGCTGGAAGCCCTCGTCCCACCTGCAGTGCACTCACTCACACATCATGCAATCACACATGCACACTCAACAGCACGGCGTGTTGCGGCGCCTGCTGATAGTGGAGCACGACCTTGTCCCGCTCATGCCTGCAGTGCACACTCACTCACACACATATACATTCACCAGCACGGCTTGTTGCGGCGCATGCTGCTGCTCGAGCGGGGCCTATACTAGAATTATTTTGTCCGTGCAGTTTGGGTCATAAATCATCGGAGTATTTCGCTCTCTCTCCCATTCACGAGCCTTAGGGGCGAGCATGATAATGCGCATTATTGTTGTCGATAAGCGTTATCGATAGTGTATTTAGTTTTGTCAGTATGTGGGTTAGTGATAAAAATGAAAAAATAAATAAATAGATAAAACAACGTATTTATTAAAATAAGAAAAATAATGATTTAAAATAAATTATTAATTATGTACCTATGTATTAAAAAAAAACTATAAGTACAAATATTTGGACTTTAATTTAATTGGAATTGGATTGGAAATTAAATCTAAAACTATTTACACTAAAATTCTACATCAGAATCATCAGAGTCATAGTCATCCACGTGAATTACGATATCTTCTGCCATATGACATTTATTTAAGTCTTCCTCTTGGAGTTTTTCTGCATGCTTAACACAATCTTTCCAGTTCTTTTACGAAACGTTTGAAATTGCTTTATGTAGCAACACTTCGACGTCTGCAATTTTAAAAGTGCTATTTTTGGTGGCAACTTCATTTTTTGCTTGAGCCCATACAAACTTAATTGGGTTATATTGGCAATGGTAAGGTGGTAAGCGAATCACTTCGTGTCCTGACTCCAAAGCTAACTGATCCAAGCTGTATATTTTTCTTAAATTTTGTCGACCGCTCTAACACTCACACCACATATCGCCGCAGCAAGTTCACGAGAACGGCAGAAATTAACACTTTGTAACTTTTCGGGATCTATTTTCATTTCAGTGAAAAATGTTAAAACATTGTTGATAACAACACGTGCTTGTGCTGGTATATTGGTGCAACAGGCAAAATATTATTTTGAATAAATTCTGCCGTTTTGGTACAAAACAAAGGAGTAGCAAAAAAATTTCTCTTCGATATACATATGTACTAAATTATCATTGCACTAATTTGCAGGTATTAGGCGGGGGTAATAATGGAAAACAGATGACTCATAACATAACAACTGCACCACCCTTTGTATACCGCACCGCCGCCGTATACGTGCCTTCCTTGATTCATTTGTTGATATCGATAACGGCGTTGCGCCCGCGCAACATGCTCACCGCCCCAGCCGGGCTGAGGCCGAGCTATGATTTATGACCCCAACTGCACGGACAAAATAATTTTACTATATTCCCGCTCGTGCCTGCATTACACACTCACGCATACACACTCACGAGCACGGCGTGTTGCGGCGCCTGCTGGTGGTCGAGCGCGGCCTTGTCCCGCTTGTGCCTGCAGTGCACACTCACTCACTCACTTACGCATACAAACTCACCAGTACGGCGCGTTGCGTCGCTTGCTGCTGGTCGAGCGCGGCCTTGTGCCGCTCGTGCCTACAGTGCGCACTCACTCACTCACGCAGACACACCATCACGGTGTGTTACGGCGCCTGCTGCTGGTCGAGTGCGGCCTTGTCCCGCTCGTGCCTACAGTACACACTCACTCACTCACTCACGCAGACACACCAGTACGGTGTGTTGCGGCGCCTGCTGCTGGTCGAGCGCGGCCTTGTCTCGCTCGTGCCTGCAGTGCGCACTCACTCACGCATACACACTCACCAGCACGGCGTGTTGCGGCGCCTGCTGCTGATCGAGCGCGGCCTCGGCCCGGCGCGCTGCCTCGTCCCGCTCGTGCTGCGCGGCGAGCAGCGCCTGCAGAGTCCTACAAGCGTCCCGCTCTTGTTCGCGAGCCCTTCTCGCCTCCTGGTTTAGCTCTTCAGCCTTCGCCTCGTACGCTTTGAGGACTGCCTCCGCCTCTTGGATCTCAGCACTGATTTGTCTGTGTGCAATATTTTTAATATTAATAAAATGGTAAGGTTTTTCTAAAATTATATAGATATTGGCATGCGGTAAAGTAACAACAGCTAATAAGACACGTTCGCACCAATCGGAAGCTTAGCTAGAGTCCTGATTTCAATATTCCGTTTGTTGTCGCTAACCAATGACAACTATACCGAATATGATACAATCTATAGGAAAGGCCTATTTCAACAGCAGACTTTTGCTAGTTAGTAATAGCGCGGGGTGGTACTACGTGTTGTTCTGTAGCTGTAGCTGGCACGTACTTACCTTTTGCGCTCGGCGGTGCTCAAGTGCAGTAGACGGGCGGGTCGTGCGGCACCTCCGTAGCTGCGGTAGTTGGGCGCAGGGTGGTACTCCGTGCCGTCCAGCGTCACGATCTTCGCGCAACGCTCCGGTACGTTCTCCTCCGTGTCCGCCAGCCGCACCGCGTCCTCTGCGTACAACCATAACTCTCATTACCCGAAATTAACTGACTTCGAAAAGGAATATACGGTGACGTACAAAGTAAGCAAACTGCTTCATTTTCACTGCATTAATTTGTTCAGTTCTAATCCGCGCTCGCATACATAGTGTCAGCAGTATTGACTAGTCAGTTTAATCATTATAAGAGTTTTTCCAATAAAAACATCTTTATTTAAATAAATTTACATGATGTGCAAATCGCGGCACGTAGGTCTAGCGCTGAACGAAACGTGGAGGGGATAGCTACGCATAGGTACTATCGCGCACGAATGCGACTGGAAAGCCAATCGTGCGAACGATAAGCACGAGCCAATCAGCGCGTACGAACGATACGCACGTGCCAATCAGCGCGTGCGAACGATACGCGCGCCCGACCGATATTACCTTATTTTCGACTTATGCGCAATAACGATCACCGCTAGACTTTCGTGCCGCTACTTATACGATATATCAATTTGATTCTTCAAGCAAGCAAGCCATTTCGACTCATTCAACTATACTTTCTTACTTTTTATCTGTCTTCGCGCTGAGCATCCTATATACAAAAGCTAAATTTTAAACATAGATTAATGATAAGTCATCGCGCGCTCTGACTAGATACCGCCGGCGCTCATGTAAAATGCGGCGACAAATACTACGCCGAAATCGGCGTACCCGAGCCAGTCGCGTTGCAGGCAACGTGTGAGGTGAACGTACCGAATGTTTTAATAAATTTTGATCATAATCCGAAGTAAAATACCAGTTTACGTATTGAAACTGTGTAAATATAATACTACAAGAAATAAGAAAGACACTGGAATCACATACTATTATTAAGTATCATACAATATTGAAATATTAAATAACAGGCGCTACTATTAATGTCTTGTACATGGCAACACTAGTTACACTAGCGCCCTCTAGTGTCGAGTAGCAGAACTAGGAGAGTCAAGATCCTTCCAGAAATTTCGGGACCGATATGTACTCCAACACTCTGGATGTCGCTACAGTAGAAGGTTCTAGAAACTATCTGAGGCCCTATATAAGGCCGGTATAGACCACGACCGAGTCAGTATTGAATGGGCGTATACAAGAGAATACTTCGAAGCGAAACAACTGCGAACTTAAGTGATCAGTAGTACAATTGTGTTTTATTATTAGTGTGGTTTTAGATTGGAATTAGTGTTGTGTAATTAAAGTGTCAATTTTGGTAATTCAATCGGCAGTTTTTTATTGTCTCGAACCCCAAGTTCGTAACAATTGGTGTCAGAAGTGGGATCAAATCATACCGATTTTACCAAAGGACGACATGGAGGGAGGGACATCCGTACCCGAAGTCAACGCCAGCTGGAGGCGGACCAGAGACGATTTGGTAATGCAACGCCGCAAACGTCGGAGGGCCAGATGCTGACTACGGAGGCCGGCCCGTCAGCAGCTCCTGCATCTGCAGCACCTGACTTAGGTGCTCTGATGATGATGCTGCAGGATCAGGCTCGTCGACAGGAGGAACAGGCCCGTCAGTTGGAAGAGCAGCTGCAGCGCGGACAGGAGGAACAGGTCCGTCGGTTGGAAGAGCAGCTGCAGCGCGTACAGGAGGAACAGGCCCGTTACTTGGAAAAGCAGCTCAAACGCGATAAGGAAGAGCAGATGCTCCTCATGAAGGATCTTCACGCTACCTTCGGGAAAGAGACAAAGGAGGTGAAGGATAGGGTTGGTCAACATGACAACCGCCTCTCGGAAGCTGAAACCCGAATCGACCAAGTTAACAATCGGATTGACAACGTGATGGTTGACGTGAAGAAAACGCTGGACGACCTCAAATTTGGGGATGGAGTTACAGCTCCCGTGGTAGCTGCAACACCTTCGCTGCGTGGATTCAAAGTGCCACCGTTCGACGGGACTTCTTCCTGGTCGGCCTACAAAATCCAGTTCGAGGCTGTCATGAAAGCGAACGGCTGGAATAAAAGTCAGGCCATGACTGCTCTCACCCTAGGCCTACGCGACCAGGCCTTAACTGTTCTGGAAGCTCTCGGTAAGGAAGTGACTTACGAGCAGCTCCTTGAGGCATTGGAAGCGAGATATGGCGACGCTCACCTGGAACACGTCTTTCGTGCACAGCTCAAAGATCGCGTGTAACACAGTAACGAAAACCTGCAGCAGTGGGCCCTTGAGGTGGAGAAGCTGGTTCGAAAAGCGTACCAGTCTTAAGCATCCGCGACCTTGAAGTCAGAGCTGCTGTGAGGCTCGGGCACCACGAGACGCTTAAGGACGCGTTGGCCCATGCACTGGAGGTGGAAGCCGTGCGACAGGATCATCGTTCCTATCGCATCAGGGAGGTTGCAGCTACAGTTCGTGACCGCAGTAAAAGATACAGACCTAGGTGCTATGGCTGTGGGGAGATGGGCCATCTGCGATTCAGCTGCCCTAAGCGAACTGTAGAAAGGAAAGGTGATCGATCTCGAGAGGGTAGTTCGGCTAACAGCACCGCCCAGTGCAGCGGAAAATCTCATGACAACGCAGATGCATTGTCAATAAGACCGTGTCCTGAAGATTGCAAGCATTGTACTAGGCAAGAGGGTAAGGAAGTGGTATTTGTGAGGATACTCAGGACAGACCAGCTCAGCAATGAGTGGAAGGACAGCTTACAACATGCACAGCAGGAAGATTCGGACATTAAACCGATTCTGGAATGGATGAAGGCCAGTGCTCCTAAGCCCAAGTGAAGCGACGTCTCAGCGATGAGTTCAACCACGAAAAGCTATTGGGCCCAATGACACAGCTTGCTGATTTAGGATGGAGTCCTGTGCCGTAAATGGGAAAATAGTCGGAGAGTCAGTTGTCATTTGCAAATGGTTGTCCCTAAGGCTAAAGTACCGGATGTTCTACAGCTGTACCATAGTGGTTGTTCAGGAGGCCACCTGGGAGTTAAACGAACTCTACTGAAGATCCGAGAACGGTTTTACTGGGTCCACTGTCGTGACAATGTCGAGGACTGGTGCCTCAAATGTACAAGTTGTGCGGCTGTAAAGGGACATCAAATTCGTAGTAGAGGCGCATTGAAATTGTACAATGTTGGTGCACCATGGGAGAGGATAGCCATTGACGTTGCGGGGCCGTTTCCGGAAAGTGAAAGTGGTAACAAGTATTTCATGGTTGTGATGGATTACTTTACTAAGTGGCCAGAAGTCTTCGCCATTCCAAATCAAGAAGCTTCAACAGTTGCAGATAAACTAGTTCACGAAGTCTTCTGTCGTTTTGGAGTACCCTTAGAGATTCACAGCGATCAAGGAAGGAATTTTGAGTCTCAAATATTCTAGGAAACTTGCCGAGTTATGGGTACTCATAAAACACGAACAACTTACCACCCACAATCTGATGGAATGGTAGTACAATTTAATCAGACATTGGAGAGGTTCCTAGCAAAAGTTGTGGAAAAACGGCAACGAGACTGGGACAGGCACATACAACCGTTTTTGTTGTCATATCGAAGCGCTGTTCACGAAAGTACATCAGTGACAATATAATATATTAAACTTATTATAATATAACCTAATTCTATATTATTTAATGTTTATTTCTGTAGTATTGCTCAAATGACATAATTGCCATTTATTAGGGTTCCGTACCCAAAGAGTATCAACGGGACCCAAGTCTCCACTATCGTTCCGTCTGTCTGTCAGTAGGCTGTATCTTATAAACCGTAATATGTAGAATTTTCACAGAATGTGTATTTATATTGCTGCTATAACAACATAAAATAAAAAAGAAAACAAGTAAAATATTAAAGGACCCAAAAAAATCACGTTTCTTGTATGAAGACCAAACAAGAAACGTGATTTTTTTCTGTATTGCTATGTGTTTTGTTTACAGACTAAAGCGAAACCTGGATTAACACGCAATAAAATGATGCTGTGTGTATGGTTGGATTAAAAGTTTATCATAAGCTTTTACCGCTCGATAAAACCATCGATTCGGATCTCTACTACCAATAAATAATGAGACAAGCAAGAAATAGAAAAAAAAAACGGCTGGCATTTATTATCAGAAAAGGAGTGGTCTTTCATCATGATAACGCCAGATCACAAGATTAGTTATCTGTTTGAGACTTTCAATACACACTAACATTCCTAAAAATCCAGTATTTGCTTGAGTACTTGAAACTGGTTTAAAAGTTTTAGTCATTATTTTCTTTTGTTGCTTGTGTTTTTTAAAAAAAAGCTTTCTGGAGGTTTTAATATTTAAGTTTATATATTTTTTTTCATTATGAATGGGATGACTAAATCCATGTTCCTTCAAACCTCTGGTATTGAATATATCAAATAAAACTACTTGTCGCATTTTTTTAATCAAAATCCCAAGATTTCTACAGCAACGTTTATTTTTTATTATGTCACTACCTACAAGATGGCAACAAATTATCGAACAGAATGGACCCATATATATTATAATTAAATGTAATAAAAGTTTAAAACAAAAACGCCTTGAATTTGTATACAATATACGAAGAAACTTTTTCCCCAGTCTTATATACTAAGTAAAGGTGTAACAAAATAGTACTTAATAACTTAGGGAATGATTCTGCCCGTCAACATGAATATTTTTTAATATGGGATCATCTTCGAAATTTTCAATTTGTACGTGATAGACCCATACTGCAGCTATATTACTGGTATAGTTGTAGCACGAATGGGTCAGCTCGACCGGGGATGGACCACGCTCTCACAGAATACCAATGTAAAATAGGAGCTTAACGCTGCTGTGTTTCCTATGGTGAGTGTAGAGAACCGGAAACCCTTTTTATTGGAAACGAGGCATTCCATCTTAGTCCTCAGGGGTTGCAACGCATCTGCATTTTGATTCTTAACCGAGGATATATGTATATGTCTATGGGCCACAGCAACCACTTACCATCAGGTGGACTGAGTGCTCGTTTGTCACCCTGATCCTATCAAAAATATCTCAAAGTCAGTTATTTCATACAGAATTTCGTACAAACTTGCTCAAAATATATGGAAGACCTGATTTTTCTTGCGATTAGGAAGATAGAGTACTATAGTAAAAGTCGTTCATATTGACGCGTAGAATAGAAAGCCCTATTTTGATTACACCATATATAAAACTATTTTTTTAAATAATTTGTGAATATTAGTTAGACATGTAAATAAAAAAATTAAACTGATAAAAAGGAGGCCTTATCATTTATTCAGAAGAAAAACCTATACATAATATACACAAATATATTGATACATTCGTTATTAATAAACAATGTATTTTTAATTATTTCTGGAATACATTCATAACTGGGCCAAAATACTTTTTGTTGCCTAAAAACAGGTCCCTTCGGGTGAATTTCACTTTTTATGGGAAAACAGTACTAAAACAAACTGTAAGTTCATTAACTCATGAATTTAACACTAATTCCATACTTAACAAAATAAGATATAATCAATATTTATATTATTTATTTGCAAATTACGGTAACAACGTTGTCTTTCTTAGTAACGCAGTTATTCTTCATACAAAATCTTACTGTCTTTGAGCACCAGTCTCATGATATAAAGAGCAATCTCTCATAATATCTTCTAGATGTCATTGTCTCTGAATATCATTATCAAAAATATACGTTTTGAACCTTATTACAATTACAATAGATATTTTTTACCTAAAAAGTGTAATAAAATAAAAAATACTTTGCATTGCATCTCCAACGATGAATAAAATCCTAGTTATCTTGCGTGGCTATATGAAAACAATCCTTAAACTAAGTATATTAAAATTTAATGTACGCCATTTTGTTCGAATTGATGTAACTCTTAAAATGAATGATAGCCGCTGCGCGGGGGTAGCACGCTAACCGAATCAATCGCATCACAGTTCTTGGGATAGGTGCGTGTGTTTATTGCATGGCCGTTGAGTTACCGCCATCGAATGGTAAGTACTGACGATATTTGTATTTTTACTACTCTCAAACATAATTAATTAGGTATCGGTAATGACAGTGACAAAATGTTTGCAATTTTGTTTTTCCACTAAGTGCACATCAACGATGTAATCAAATATTTACAACTGCCTTAGTGCTACACTTCGTTACCGTAAAACATAACGCATTTGTGGTATTGGTAACGCAGTTGTTTTAAGTGTATTTTTTAGGTTATTTATACATTGTTATAACCAAAATACCCATAATTAGTTTTTTTTTTCAGGAAGTGACTTTTACACTAAATGGCTTTGACACAGGCTGAACAGTAACGTCGCTATAGGCTTAAGTTAAAGCAGGAGCTCATAAAAATGCTGAAGCCAAAAGAAAACAGCTTGAGAGGTACTACGTGAAAAAGCACTCGTAAAAGATATGGCTTAATGGTTAATAACCCTCTCAATAACAAGATGAGGCAGATTTTATTTACAACGAAAAAAATTTAAAGAATAAAATATAAACTGAGATTATTATTAGTCTCCGGTACCCCTGTGCAAGACGTATGGCTTATGGTTTATGACCGTTACCTAATTGCTGTTATTGTGTTGTTATGTTGTGTTGTTTTGTGTTCTGTTGTCGTGGTGTTGTCTAATGTCGTGAATGACACATGTTTGGTGTTGTGTTGTGGTCTTGTGGTGTAGTGGTGTGTTGTGAAGCTTTGTTGTATTGTGTTGTTGTGAGCTTATGTTGTGTCGCTCACCGTGTTCGGCGACGAGCAGGATGGTCTCGAGCCCGATATTGTCGATGAGGAAGTTTGCGATGACGGGGTCGGCGACGTCGAGTGCGTCGAGCGCACACATGTATCCGGGCGCGCGCACCTTGTTGCGGCGCACGTCGTGCTGCCGGCTCAGGAACTCGCTGCACGTCACACCGGGTTTCGGACTCCTGCCGTACACCTGCAATACACCACATTTCCTAAGGCGTCACTTCAAGCGTTCGTTTTCGCTTATTTTCTTTATTTTGACTGAAAGCGGCAATGTGTAGGGAAGCGGCTATTTGTTTTTTTTATTTATGATATACTATTTATGATATACTATCTGGGAGTTGTAATGGATCATTAGTTAGACTTTCGGGAAACTGACTTTATTTGCTAAAAAAACAGCAAAAACGCAGGTTTGTGATACGACAAACACATTAAAAAAAATCAGAAATCGAAATTATTATTTTTAATTATTACCACAGAATAAATAATAGTCAAAAGAACAGAAGGATCACTATCTGATAGCAAACTTGCGAGTTTAAACTTAGTTACAACGTCGCTAATGTTCATAATACTTTGCACGCCTCGGAAGTGACCTTCGTGAAATTAGCCTACCGTTTATTTCGTGGAAAAAAATATTATGTGGTGCGCGTATTAAATCAAAATACACCTTACGTCTGGATGCGAGTGTCTGTATCACTCAGCCCGTTACGCGCCTTTGTTAAGACCGCTTCTACTGTAGGGTTAGGTGTTGTGAGAAAAAAAAATTGAATCCTTTGATATTAGTTGGTATATAGTATATATATACACCGAGACGTTATGCAATGTATTAGTATTTCTTTTACCCCCACTAGGATTTTCACATGTAAAGTGGAGGCAGTTAACAAACATAAATTGCACAAGGACAAATATGATTCGAACCCGCGGCCCCAGCGTTGCAACTTATTGCTAAGCCACTGCGCCACAGAGCCATCAATTTACTGATAATAAAAACTTTATTGTTCAATGTGAGGAAGGTTAATATGCAACATCACGAAAAATTAAGATTATAACAACGTGAACGTCTTTGAAACTCAGACAATTTACCTACTTACCATTTTAATTTAAAAAAAAAAGAGGAGGTACTCAACACTCAAAGACTGTATTTTTTGTGTTACGTGAACTGATTTTAATGATTCTTTTTTCATTTGAAAACTGGTGCTTCTCATAATAGTCACATATTGATTAAATTTGATCAAGATCTTAATAATGCGTATTAGTATTGAAGTCGGTTGTAAAAAAAATTTAATTTCAATAGTTGTCTCTCTTCCTCTCTTTTTAAAAAACGTTACCTCCACACTAGGATTTTCTCCTGTATCGTAGGGACCGTTTCCATACATAGAACAGACCCAGAACAATTATTTGTAGGCCATACAAATACTTGTTCCGTGCGTCATTGGCATTATACGAGAAAAACACGAAAACTGCGAAGCTGTCGTCGGGTCACTAATCAAATAATAAATCTGTAACTATGGCGTCAGTAACTAAGTACCTAATTATCTAGATCTACCTATAAATAATAATATATTACCTTTCGGTATCCTTAGGGACAGTAAAGAAAGAAAAGTCGATATTCCTATTGTTAACCCGTACGCTATATAGTACATTTTGGCTTATAGAGAGGCCATACTTGAATAAAAACTCAAAAATAAATATCAAAAGTGCCTAAATACTTATTAGGAAAAATAATTTTTATGTTAACGTGAGGCGCGCGTCAGCTCGAACGCGTGCGTGACTCACGGAATTAGCTTCATGTAGACGGCCGCGCAGCGTAGGTATATTTTCATGCCTAAAGGGCGGAGTGAGAGAGGCCTGCTATTACGTCCAAAGTACACCACAATATCAAAATATAAATATCGGTATGGGTCTTCTATTTCTTTTAACTAACTCAACCACTTATTATAATAAGAATTAACCTATTTGTTTACATTTCTTAGAAAGTTAATGTTATACATTATATAATTCATCTTTTATAATGTTTTATACTCACTTTTTCTGGCACATAAAGTCCTATTTCATACTATGTGCAAAATTATAGTTTGCCTAATTTCAACTCGTTTAAAAAAAAGGATGGGGGTAACAGATCAGAGACCATGTGAAAGCAAAGTATTACTCGGTATTGTTGAGAATATGAACTAATTAAAACAAACACGTTAAGGGTTAACATTACAACTTTTTCCACAAATTTCGAACTCGCCAGCACATGATCCCTCTGCTAATGACGGTCGAGGTTTTGTGTGAGCCTCTTATAAACCCTGAACTTTTTTTACTTAGGTATGCCATGAGGTGGGTGTTCAATATACGCTCCATAATCTTGGAGAGTATGGAGGTAATTGAAATTGGCCGATAGGTGGCAGGGTCGGTACGGCTACCTTTTTTAAGCACAGCAGGCTGCACATTGGCAAGATTCTAAGATTTGCGCAGTATTCCAGTCCCGAATGAGAGGCGGAACAAGCGCGTCAACACAGGAGACAACTCAGGCGCACAGACCTTTAGAACTATAGCTGGTATACCATCAGGTCCACTAGCTTTGTTCACGTCTAGACTTCGCAAGGTTTTAAGAACCTCCTTGTTGGTGATACGGACCTCTGATATAGAGGTACCGCAGTGAGGTAATTGAGATGGTACGCTGTTGCTACTATCCACACGCGAATTGCAAGCAAAAAGTGAAGCAAGTAAGTGTGGTGTCGGTACTATGATAAAACAATATAACAGGAATATATGATATCATCACTCAACGTGGACTCCATATAAGGAGTAGAAATAACATCTATTTGGTTCAGTAATATCATATTATATTTATAGAAGAAGATACCATTCATGTGGCTCTACCTGGAACCACGTAACACAAACCCTGCCCCCTACCTATGTACCTACGTCACAACCACTATATATAAGTCTCCTCCAACCCAATAAAGAGAGAATTATTAAACTGCATCACTGAGTTTAAATTACTGCTTGTCCAAACATTACATGGCGTCCCTGCCAGGCGGTGCGCTGCTACAATGCACGCGCACCGCCGGGCCTACTATTTAAAAAGAAGAAAAAATATTATAAGAAAACTTAATTAAATAATGGACAGTTTTTAAGAGGATTGACAATTTAAAAAAAAAAATATATTATAACGGAATGGACGCAATACCGGATGTGACGAAAAATAAACAAATATGAATACAAGAAGAGGCCACAATAATTATTTTATTGAAAGTGACTTAAAATTTAATATATATAATATATAGTACTATGAAGACGTGTAACGAGGAAGGAGGAAAACAAATAGTGGATTTTTTATATCATGACCAAAGATCAAAATTTAAGATTCGGCAGATCTATTTAAAAAGAAAAGAAGCAGTTGTATTCATGCGAGCACCACCCAGAAGAATGCGAAAATTGAGCCAAAAAAGAACAAAGAAGAAATAAAGAGTTATGGTGTTCTATCTTGAACTGCGTGACTGGGTGTACGCGCTTAACGAAAAGTAACAACCAAGAACATGGGCGGTTATCAGACTAAAGAAGGGACCATGATTGTGCAAAATACAATGGGAAGCAATAAGGCAGGAACTGAACAATTGCAATTTCACCTGACTATGTTATATATTTCGTAAAATTATATAAAGTGTACTGTATTCTACGTATTGGTGGTAAGTTATGAATATTTCTCTAGAACAGTTATATGAGTAATTAAAAGAAGTTAGGGCATATTTAATAAAAATTGCATCGAGTTAACTTGAAGGGAAAAATTTTAGATACCAAACTAAAAGTGGTTATAATAAATTTTAATAGTAAAGTAAAGGAAGATAAGATTAAATCTACTGATATTCCATTCAAAACTTTAAGAATTGAAATTTTTCATGTTGTTTTGCTATTATATTTTTTCTAAAGTTAGTACGTATTAAATATTCTGTGTTTAATATAATTTGATTAAGTTGAAAATATTTATTCAGACATTTAACGATTCAATTGCAATTTTATTAGTTTTATTACTTTGTCTAAATAAAAACTATACCGCAATAGTATAAATTAAGTTAGGTATACACTTATTTGGTACTTCTATTAAGGCACAAGACTACTTTACATGCACTTTCATTCAGTTATAGTTTTAATTATTTTATTACTGTGTCAAGTAAAAGATGAATGAAATAATGATATACCATAATAGATTACATTTTTTTACGTACTTGATTTCTCCATAATTTATAGTTAAATAACACTGAGACATTAGATTCTATAAAATTATATAATCTAAGACTGTGACACATTTCGTCGTTTTTATTTTTTTTGGAATCCAAATTTTAAAAAGGGTTATAGACAATTCGTTTTATTTTTAGTTCTAAAAGCCGACGGTACTGTCTTAAAGTTATATTATGATAAATTAAAATTATTTTTTTTCTTTCAAGGTTTTAAATAAATTAATATTTTCTTATATGTAAACTCGATGGCCGTTACAGCGATTGTTTCAATTAATTTTTGTATGTGATATAATTAACATTTTTAGAACCAATGAATAAATGTATGTACTATAACTATAAACGACAAAACTAAGTTTCTGTGTAAATTTAAAAAAAAAATTCTTAGAATCTCATTTTAAGGTTGCATTCATATTACATATAATATATTCTACAAGTTATCTTAAAATTAGGTATAAATCACACCGTGTGATCTGATCATAGTTCGATGCAATCGGAAACGTTTCATATAGGAACTTACTTTCGAATTTAAAACAAAGGTGTCTCAAATTGCTGTTAAGAATATAATTTGTATTTTGATCTGTCTGGTGTTATCACTGTATCATGATGACTTATGTTCCCGTTAGTATTTCTTGGTTCTGTATTATAACATGAAATGTAGTTTATTCCTTTCGATTTTACATTTATTGAACTTTTAAATCATAAACTTTTAACTATTATAATTTAATATTTTCTCGGAAAATAGTACTTACTTGCGTGTATTATGAAAATATTTTCTTCGCTTTATATGATTTTGAAACTCATTATATTATGTAGACAATTAAGTACCTAATTAATTTAAAATTTGTTGTGCCCATATTGTGAGCCTCAACCCCTAAGTGACAATGATGTAACTAAATATTACACGGGACTATATGATATAAATTTATAAAAGACGTAAGTAAATTTATGGATAAGTTACGGAGTTTAT